CGGAGAAATAGTCACTTCGTTTAAAAAAGCGGGGCAGGGGGGTGGGGTGGCACATTCAACCCCTTACCCATGTACTAGTAGGAACAAATTTGTTTATTTCTCCTTCAGTGAATAAAAGAACAAGAGATCCTGAAATTTTTGTGATAATATTAGTAAGTTATTATGACAACTTTTCTCATTTAGGAACAAACCAGTTTCATTAAAAAAAATATAAACCAATGCACGGAGAGAGGGTTGCTCAAAAAAACTGAAAATAAATAGGGGGGGGGGGCGGACGCTTATTCGATACCTTAGAGTTATAAATTATGTTCTTTCCAACCACGCAGTTCGCAGAACCAGGACGCAGATGCGGTACCTCACTACAGTTTCTACACCTGTATCGAGGCCAAAATAAACCAACAAATATGAAATATTCAGTATTTTGATAAAACTGAGCGTTATCATCGCACTTTACTTTTACTTTACTTTTTCCTTCCTCTGGTGTTCTTGGGTTGTCGAGGGGAGGAGCAAGTTTCGGTCCTGTGCGAGGTGTGTAGCGCCTGTGATAGATATGTTATGTTGTCCCAGGACCTTTTTAACCCCATCCAAACAGGTCTTCCTTGGTGCTCCTCTTGATTTAAGTTGGGACGTGCTTGTGACTGAGCAGGGGTGCTAGCTGGTAGGTCACTGCATTTTCCTTCATAGTTCTTGTTTTTATTTCTTTGTCCATACGCCCATCTTATGTGAAGATGTTTCCCAAATATTTAAATTCCTCTACTTGTTGGAGCTGTGTTCCTTCAATAAGAAAGTTGAGTTTTTCCCTAGGTTTCTGCTAACCTTCATAACTTCTGTTTTTGAGAGAGAGATTTTCATGTTCAGGTGCTTACATTCCTCATTTAGTTTTGTGGTGTGTTTTTGTAATTCCTATTCCTCTGTATTTAAGATACTCAGGTCGTCAGAAAATAGAAACTCGTTCAGTTCAGTGATGTTGTCATTTGCTGCTTTCGTGATCTTATCCATCTAAGTGATGAAGAGAAGAGGAGAGAGAACACATCCTTGTCGCACCCAGACCTGATGGGGAACCAGTCCGATAGTCCTTCTGTCGATAAGCTGCTTTTATAAAGTGCCATGATGTTCTCTAGAAATTGTCCTCTTACACCATACTCCTCTAAGACTTCCCAAAGTTGATATCTATCTACCCGGTCGAACGCCTTTTCCTTTTCCACGAAGACGATATTGAGGTCTTTGTCATGTGCAATTGTGGTCTGTCTCACACAACTGTCTTAATGCGAAAAAAGCGTCAGTACAGCCCCTGCCTTTTCGGAAGCAAAACTAGAATTCACTGAGTTGAGTCTCTACAGTTGGTCTCATTCTCATTTCCAGGATCTTGGCAAACATTTTGCCCACATGGCTGATAAGGGATATTCCTCTGTAGGTTCCACATTCTCATTTCCAGGATCTTGGCAAACATTTTGCCCACATGACTGAGAAGGGATATTCCTCTGTAGGTTCCACTTTCTCTTTTGTTACCTTTCTTTTTTCCAAATGGGTACAACGGCAGCTCGTTGCCAGTCATCGGGTGTTGTTTTTATCGCCCAGGCAGGCAAGCTAAGTATCTTCCATAGCCAGAGTTCACCGATATGGCCGCATAGCTTGATCTCTTCTGCTGTGATTTTATCAACGCCTGGCGCTTTGTTAGTGGGGCTTTTCGTCATAACATGTTGGGTTTCACTCGGCAGTAGTGATGGTTCTGAAGTGGGTTTTTTAGTGAGAAGCAGTTTGGTGTTGTTTCTCCTGTAGGATTCAGCAGCTCCTGGAAAGAGCGTCTCATTTTTCTTTAATATTTGGCTTACTGTAAATAGGGTTTCAATTCTCATCATTGACCATTTCAGTAGAGTTGAATGGTTCTTTCCGCATCCTCATGTT